TAGTAAAATGATTACTGAAAAATTAAAAATAAGTGATAGAGTTGGCAAACTGGCCGAAAAGGAATGCTACATCACTCTTAAAGACCACAAACAGGATTTTGAGGAAGACCCCACTACCAGAATGATAAACCCTACTAGACTCGACATAAGAAAGATAAGCAAAAAAAAAAAAAAAATCCTGGAAAGGATCACCAGCCAAATTAATAAACACCTTGGATTAACACTCTGGATTAACACCAAAGAAGTTCACCAACATCGACAATAAGCCTGACTGCACCCTAATTCAGTTCGATATTGTGGATTATTATCAGTCAATATCAAAAGACCTCTTCACGACTGCCCTGGGGTTTGCTACAGTGTATTCTGACTTAACTAAGGAAGAAACAAACATGACTCTCAATGCAAAGAAATCTGTCCTCATCCATAATGAAGTGGATTAAAAACACAAATGACAATTTTGACATCACAATGGGATCTCTAGACTCTGCAGAATCTTCGGACCTTGTCGGTCTATTTATACTGTACAATCTAACCGCGCACCGTGAATTAGACATTAAGGACATCGGGCTATACCGAGATGACGGGCTCATGGTAGTGAGAAGCTCCACAAATTTTAAAACATATAAAATTAGAAAGATAATTTAAAGTGAATCCGGAAAACTAAGTTTAAAAACAGTAGTCAACGCTAAATTAAAAAGAATAAACTTCCTAGACGTAACCCTAGACTTAATAAACAACGTCCACCTACCTTACAGAAACCTAACACTAATCCCTTTGCACGTACACACTAAGTCAAACTACCCCCCATCTATAATTAAGCATATACCCACATCAATAGAGAAAAGAATTAGCATGAACTTAGCTAATAGGGAAATATTCCGACCACACAGTAATTTTTATAACACAGCCCTGAAAAATAGTGGATACAAAAACGCTGACATAAGTTATAGAAACATTAGTACCAATAATAAGAAAAATAGGAAAAGAAAGATCATCTGGTATACCTCTCCGTTCAACCAAATGGTCAGTACCAAACTAGGGTATAAATTCCTAGCTTTAATAGAAAAACACTTTCCAAATAATAGCAAATTTAGCGAGATCTTTAATAAAATCACCTTACGTTACAGCTACACTGAAAATCTAGAAAGAATCAGAAAAAGACATAATAATAAAATCCTGGAAAAACATGCATGCCAAAACAGTAATAAAGCTCTTAAACTGAAATTAGATAAAAGTAACGAAAAATTATGTGATTGCAGAAACCCTAAAGACTGCTCGTTGGAAAATAAATGCCTCACAAAATCCGTGGTATACCAATGCACTATCTCATCCATTGAGAGTCCTAACACTGATAGGATATACATTGGGTCAACGAAGAATAAATTTAAAATTAGATGGAGACAACACAAGAGCTCCTTCAACAATATTCAAAATAGAAATCAGACATCCCTATCCCAATATTTCTGGCATCTAAAGGAAACGAATAAAACACCAAAAAGTAAAATGGAGAATAATAAATGGAACAAGAACTTGTAAAACCTGGGATGACCCATGACCTTTATGCCTACACGATATATATATATATATATATATATATATATATATATATATATATATATATATATATATATATATATATCCATCCATAGATAGACTGTTTCGCTGTAACACAGCACTTTAGTGTGGCTAGACGTATGTGTGTGTCTGTATTGTGCATTTAGGCAGCAATCCTTCATTTATACATGTTTCATCAATGACGACAGAAATGGTGCTATGATTAAGCTTTTTATTTAATTCTTTCTTATATTCGAACAAATGTTTTCTTTTCAGGGCACAGAGTCTGTAGAAACTGTCCAAATCTTCTGTAATTTCGTGCGGCTTAGAGCTCGGAATTACATATATATCGTGCATATCGTGTGTGTCGACAAAATTGTCCAAATCGTGTAACAGCAAAGTTGTCCGCCGCACAAATTGTATAATATCTAAAAAACTACTAAACAATTTGAGTTTCTTTTTTCTATGTTTTTAGATAAGACGTTTAGCCATCATGACACCATTTGTCGTAAAACTCTCTGAAGAATCGTTTGTGCTATTCAGCTAGAAATAGGACAGATTAAAACCGTTTTGTGTCAGCCCCACTGTCTTTCCAAATAAACGAGAAACCTGTGAGGTAACTTGTTAATCCGGGACAGAATGTTAGAAGCATAGAAAAGATGAAAACCATCTTGAATAAGTTGGAACATAAACCTGGATATATATGAACTTTAATTCAATTCTTCAAGAGCTTCTGATCCTTAGCTTTGATTAATTATTGATTAAGCAATATAATGAAGTAAAATTCAAATAAAAAAGTAATATATATGTACCCACATAATATGGCGTGTGTGTTTGTGTGTCATAAAATAATGTTTTATACTATGCTCTATTAATGAGTAAATGAAAAGTGTTCATTATCATAGTGATAGAGCGCATGAAAATATAAAAGTAGACACGGAGATCAACACTGTGAGGCGACTGCTTTGACGCATAATTTAAGGCCATGTAGGTTACTGTGGATTCTTTTCTTCCGACAATTTATATAGCCTGGACAATCGTGCATTATGGGTAGCAAGTTCTATTGCATGAACCTAAAGGTTATTGTGTGGGCGGTAATGGTTACGTTTCAAATTATGCCAGAGGCAATTTTGTAGAAATATTTGTCCGTCCGACTGAAGTTATTTGATGCCATGTTCTTTTATATGTTATTTGTTCTCGGTGCAAATGTAATTGATTTTTAATGCGTTACCGTCGAATATCTTCTAGAATATATATATATGTATATATATATACATTGAGTCTGATAGAAACCTCAACAGAATGCAGAAAGCACTGGACGGCCGTTTCGTCCTATATTTGGGACTCATCAGCAGTGCTCATCCACTACCGAGAATTGAAACCCTGACAGTTAAGTTGTCAAGCGGACATCATACCAACTGTTCCAAATGGGCCTCGGTGACGAAGAGATTCCAAATCAGACTCAACTTATTGCCGCTCTCTCACATATTCCGTGGCGGAACTCAACTGAGTTCTCTGTAACCATAGGACTGTGCCTCCTGGAGCCACGACTACTCTCACCAAGCCGCTAGCAACTGGAGCATTAGAAGTAGTGGATGCGCACTGCTGATGAGTCCCAAATATAGGAAGAAACGGCCGTCCAGTGCTTTCTGCATTCTGTTGAGGTTTCTATCAGACTCAATGAATTAGTTAAATATAATTATCAAATCCTCCTACTAATTACTATCTGTATATATATATATATATATATATATATATATATATATATATATATATATAAGTGAATATAGAAGTCAACACCGAGAGGCGACAGTATGTTTCATGCTATATGCCATCGTCATGCCTGTCGATGGCATATAGCATGAAACAAACTGTGGCCTCTAAGTGTTGACTTCTATGTTCACTTTATATTTACACACGCTCTATCTCTGATATTGAGCACGTTATCCCATAAATATAGCACATCTTAAGACTATATTTCTTCATATATATATATATATATATATATATATATATATATATATGAACTTCATTTCAATCCTTCATAAGCTTCCGAACCTTAGCTTTGAATAATTATTGATGAACATGTCATTTTCATTTATGATCGATTTCATCACGTTTCTATTGTTAAGCCTGGAGAGTAATTACACATTCTTATTGTTCAACGTAGAGTCCAATAGTGTTATAATAGCCTCGGAGAAGATATCATACTCTAACTAATGGACAATTTTGCTTTTAGTTGTTTTTCCGATTGCAGTTATACACAATTTGAACAATTTTTTATTACACTATATATATATATATATATATATATGTATAATAAACTAAGAAAATAAAGAATGAAGAAAATAATAATTCAAGCACCCAAGAGGTCAAGCGTCAAATATTATGTTAAACAAAACTGAAAAGAAAAACAACACAAAAGATTTTCTATACAATAATAAACATAAAAAATTAAGCTGCCTAGTGACACAAGTCAAAAAGAAGAAAACAGAATTCGGACTGCTACTCGTGTTTCTCACTAGCGCATAAAAAGGGACAATATCCCAAAAGATATTTCTTAACAGGTAGATGACATTCAACATAAATGTTTAACTAATATTAAAGGACTATAATTTTACACCTACAAAGTAAAAACGTTATATTAATATGTTTCTTTTTTTCTTACGTGATAAGATTTCTAGAGATGTTGTACTAATAATAGTCATATGAATCAATCGTCAAATTCTGCAAAATATTTATTAAAAGTCTTGGATAATATTAACCAATTTACTTATGTTCAAAACGTTTAACATGCACTATGACACGACTTAATGACATTATGGAATCCTCCACATTTGTCTGTCACCCCCTACGGGAAGATGCACTCTTCCCCAAATAAACCTTTAACCAATAATCAATTTGCTTTTCCAAACTCAATCCCCCATTGGTTAAAAGGACACTAAAATATAGCAAAGTTGAGACAAACCTTTTTTCCCGCGCAGGCCCCTGGAGCCTATTTGGAACCACAAAAATCTATAAAAAGAATCCATCGACTTAATTCAGTTAGTCAGATACGTAGTTTCAAGAGGTACAAGCAGACCCCAGGCGTGCCAATACACTGACTAAATAAGCGCTACCAAACTCTCAACAATTCAACACAGCTAGGACAACTATTGCCACGTGAAGAAACGTAACCTCACTAAAAAGTGACATTGTCACTACAAACAGTAATTGTACATTCAATCAGCTTTAGCCTATCAGTTAAAGGCGAACAACTCTTCATAACTAAAATCAACACTATCACTTGAACTTACACATTTGTCAATATTCCTTGCAGATATCAAACTATTTTAATTCCACAAACTTAAACTATCAAACTTTACTCACTGAATTTCTGCATGGACAATCTTTGTAACCTTATCTCACTAGCCACATTTAACAAGCAATTTATTATCACTTTGTGTATGTCAAATATCTATCTATCTATCTATCTATCTATCTATCTATCTATCTATCTATACATACATATATATGTGTATATATATATATATATATATATATATATATATATATATATATATATATATAAATATATATAAATATATATAAATTAGCGTTATTGTTGAAATTTCTAATGACATTGATTTTAGTATTTTCTTGAAGTTGAATTGTCTATTTATTTTTGTTTGATTTATTTGTTGTAGATAAACGCATTACGATCACGCACATTCTTGGACTTCACAAAAAAATCACCTGTCACATCTTACTCAGCAACAAACTAATTTTTTACCTCCTTCGAATCTGGTCACATAGAGACGATCAACACCAGCCTTCGTATGATGTATGCAGTGGCAAGTGAGAAGCTTCCTCGTATTGGCGTCTATTTGTTTAATATCAATTACGGTCCAGTTATACATTATTGCACCATTAGCATAGATACCACAACAAGATAATGAAAACACGCGACAAATAAAAAATATTATAAATCAGTCAAATGTGTTGAAAGAGTCAATAACTGAATTTTTACAATCAAATAATTTGATCTTTACCCTTCCGCATCTAATGAATAAAGAAATTGATGTCTTTAACGTAATCGAAAGTAAATGGCATGTTTTTCATTTATTCGGATAACTACAATTATGAAGGTATTATAAAGATATAGTTATTTATTGAAATATGCATTAATTTTATTTGTTTCTCGGATTGGGCAAACAGGAAACTCGAATGGGACTTTGGGAATGGCGTCAAACATTGAGTAGATCAAAAAAATAAACCATTTCTATTTACAAACTTTCGTTTTTATCTGGCTGCATCCGAAGCAAAAGCACTAAAAGTGGTTAATGAGAACACGTTAGTGAGGAGAAAAATAAGTTAAAAACCAGGGTTCAGACATGTTAAAAAGGGTTGCTTGTCTTTACATTTACATGAAAACGGAAAGCCGCAGGACGGATGCACAGTTGAGAAGTGCAACAGAAGAAACACTTAGAATAGAACTTAAGGTAACAACAAGCTTTTTGAATACCGAAGATCAAATAACTAATTCATCTTCTCAATATATACATTTAAACCTGTATAAATCAATACACATTCTATCTCTCACACGAGCGCATGTGTGTATGCAACACACACACACACACACACACACACACATATATATATATATATATATATATATATATATATATATATATATATATGTGTGTGTGTGTGTGTGTGAAAATGTGTATATAAATATAAATATATATATATATATATATATATATAATATATTATATATAATATTATTATTATTATTTATATATTTAAATCGTGGTACCTATTAGAAAGCGCTCAATATCAGAGATAGAGCTAACATATTTGGTTGGATTGATGTGAGTTTGTGACCTGAGTTTCACGATTTTGCGATCGTCAGTCTCACGATCGCAAAAGCGTGAAACCCAGTGTCAAAACTCACACTAACAAAAATATATATATATATATATATATATATATATATATATATATATATATTTAGAAGTGCGATCTGATGATACGGCGTCCTTTAAAAAGGCTCGGCTGAAATAAATTATTATAATGTAACCATAAACTGGTCTGCTTTTTTTTTATATATATATATATATATATATATATATATATATATATATATATATATATATAAACTAGATTCATCAGCAAAACTAGAAATACACACAAATATATGATACCAATTATTATATATATATATATATATATTCTGTTGGTACATTATATTTATAGACATAGATATTTAAGTAAATGCTCTGTATATAATAAACAATAATAACCACATTTACCGGGCTGAATATCCGAGAAGTTTCATAGAAAACGTATGTCCTCTGACAGGAATCGAACTTGTACATTACATGGAACCATCATATAGCCTGATGTGCTCTACGAAAGTGGAAACGTCTAGTAACGACGTCAAATTACTGTTTTTAAACTACAAATTTCCCTTGATTTCTCTCGAACGCTCATATCTGCTTGAAGCGTATCCTAACTCAAACAAATGACATCATATATTATGAAATTCGGCCTGTATCCTATATGGAACCGTCATATAGACTTACGTGTAGGATACAGGTTCGATTCCTGTATGAGGACAAATATTTTCTATGAAGCAGAAAATATCTTTAAATAATTGTCGGACTTGGCCCATTTCATGCATACAGACATATATATATATATATATATATATATATATATATATATATATATATATATATGTATGCATCTTTTTCTCTCTATATATATATATATATATATATATATATATATATATATATATATATATATATATATGTATGTATGTATTGAGCTTTGTGCGCTTATGTGTATGTCGAGTTGTATCATGTTGAATGATAGTGACATGCATAGCATGCAAATTCCAATTTTCCTAAAAGAACTGTCACACAGAAGAAAAGTTCCGCTCTTATAAATCCTATATCTCGGAAATGTAAAAATCTCAAGGATCATTACATGTGACGGCGAATACAAAGGCGAAGATGGCGACAGGATGACGGCAGGAAAACTTCATAAAGATGCTATCAAATGTTGCCGCCTAATTGTGCCCTCAGGGAATCCTTCGATGCCTGTCTAATAGAGCTTCTTTTCTTCCAAGACACGTTCTTCTTGTCATTGGCTGGCAAGATGAAGTAAAAGAGAGGTGTATAAGCAATGTTTGGGAATACGGAATAAAAAAAAAGAGAAGAGGAAGATTTTTATTTGGCAGGTAATGTCTATGGAAACGACTCGAACTTGTTGCAGAATTGAGTGTTAGTTGAAAGAACCAAATACAAATGGCAAGAGTGAAAAAGATAAAATTACACAGCTGTCAAACAGAAACCAACAAGTGTGTTGTATACGTACAGGAACATTATATATATATATATATATATATATATATATATATATATATATATGTCCATTTCAATGTACTGAATATACTATATTTTACAAGAAAATCATGGTTTTGTTTTTAAATTCAGATGCAAAAATAACCCGTTCTTGGCTTCATACACGATGATGGATACTAAATCAGTCAATTTGGTTTGCTTTGGTTTATTTTGTTTAACAGCATATCAACCTCAATGGGTTATTTAATGCCGACAAAATTTTTAGGATATATTCGTATGAATAGAGTATGTATTCTTTGGTTTAGATTGGTTTGGTTTATTTTTTTTAACGGCATATCAATCTCAATGTATTATTCAATGCCAACAACATTTTTAGTATAGATTCGTATGGATAGAGCATGTATTCTTTGGTTAAGATTGGTTTGGTTTATTTTGTTTTACCGCATATCAACCTGAATGGGTTATTTAATGCCGGCAACATTTTTAGGAGAGATTTGGATGAATAGAGTATATATTCCTTGGTTTAGATTGGTTTGGTTTATTTTGTTTTACGGCATATCAACCTCAATGGGTTATTTAATGCCGGCAACATTTTTAGGATAGATTTCTAGGAATAGAGTATGTATTCTTTGGTTTAGATTGGTTTGGTTTATTTTGTTTAACAGCTGATCAACCTCAATGGGTTTATTTAATGCCGACAACAATTGTAGGATAGATTCGTATGAATACAATATGTATTCTTTGATTTAGATTGGTTTGGTTCATTTTGTTTGATGGCATATCAACCTAAATGTGTTATTTAATGGCGACAACATTTTTTATTGCTGGTAATATTTTGTTTTGTCAAAAATCTGTTTCTGGTAATACTTTTCCTTCAAAATTGTTTTGCTGATAATAATTCATATCAAAAAGTATTGCTGATAATAGTTAACTATTTGCCCATAGCCGGGACTATATAAGGTACTACCACCCCGGCTCAGGGTGGATCTGGTTACAACCGCCATTAAGAGGTGGTTCCACGCTTTTTAGAACCTCCTGATCAGAGGCATTGCTGCTGGACGTAAATTCTTAGCCAGGACGCGGATGTAGTTTAACTTATTACACAGGACAAACAGCCAATTAGTAATCTAGAGTAGGACACAGGAATTCCTCCTGAATTTTCTACTCTACTTTAAGCTACGTATATTTTAGGATAAGCCTCGCGACTAGTCCCTCTTCGGCGCGAACTACACTTATTCCATTTTTATTACATTAATAAAGATTAAACTCCGTCTTGATATCTTAGTCCCAACAACTTGTATCTTTTCTATAAGGATGCTTTCCCGACAAATGCAATCTTAACCTCTTCAAGGGTAGGGTCTAGACAAATATCCTCAAAAAATGTGCCTTTTGCTTTTACCAAACTCACTCGCAGCAACTGCCTTCATTAACTCTCTAACTTGAAACTTGAACTTTATATAGGGTGGAATTTAAATTCTCTCTTAAAGAAAGACAACACTTACATAAAAAACAACAGCGAACAATAAATAATAAATAAACTGATAAATACCGCAATCTGAATTAATGTTGAATTTATTTTTCTTTTTAATTATATCCGCGATTTTCTAAAAATGGTGGTAAAGATCTTGTTGCTTCCACCAGTATGACTATTGGGGATTTAGTTCTCTTGCTTAAAATATATACTTTTCTTGCTAATATACTATCGGGTTAACTGCTCCTAATTTTCGAAACTTGGGGACGCCCTCTGGCCTTATAAATACTCTGCTATAATCTTTTATCGATTTCTTCTTACTTTTCAGCTTATACGACAACACGTAAATCTCTCGCGGGAAACGCATGAACAATAAAGTCACACACACGTATGTACGCACATTCACACACTTTACGTCCTTTGTCCCAAAACCCTTTCCACATTCATTTGTTACGCATATTATTGTCTTTGTGGGCCCCTCGAGGTGGTTAGCAAACTTGTCTCGCTAGAATAATTACGGCTGAGTAGTGAGTTCGATCATCACTGAGTGCTCCTTACTTTCGACCTGGTGCCACATCATACATTGGAAAAACAGGACACTTCGAGGTGGTGTAATGGTTAGCAAGTTTGTCTCGCTAGAACAATTACAACTGAGTAGTCAGTTCGATCCTCATTAGGCGCCCCATACTTTCG